GGACAAATATCCATAACTGTATTAAGTATCTCATTTCTAATTTTGTTTATATGTCTCAACTATCAACTTTCTTTTTCCTTTCGTTGTTTTGTATCAACTCTTTCTTTTGTATTTGTTACTAGCTCCTTGAACTGGACATTAACATCTCCTGGTTGAAAATTGACTATGAATGAGGAAATAAAAGTTTTTCATGAGAATCGGATATAGGATCTTACTACTCTTCCTTCTGCCAAGTTGTCAATCAGTTGTTGTAGGGTCTATACATTGAAGTGTTATATTGATGGTTCATTTGAGCATTTTAAGGCCACTTGGTTGCCAAAGGCTACACCTAGACATAAGATGTGGATTACTGTTAGATTTTTTCCCCGTTGTTTTTCTCAACTCAGTTAAAGTTTTTATTTCAGTTGCAATTAGTTGTGATTGACCTTTATATCAGTTGAATATTAAGAAATTTTTTTTTTACATGGAAACCTATAATAGGAGGTATATATGGTACATCCTCCAAGTTTTGTTACACTTGGTAAGGCACAACTAGTATGTTGTCTGAACTGAAAAAAGCATTGAATGGTCTTAAATAATCACCACGTGCTTAGTTTGATAAGTTCAGTACTGTTGTACTATAGTATAGTTCTCAGCGCTACACCTCAGACAATTCAGTTTTTATCGTCATTCTTCCACATGTGTTATTATTTTTATTGTGTATATTAATGGTATTATCATAAGAGGTAATGACTGATGATCTTGCCTATGTTAAGATCCATTTGGGGTAGTAGTTTCATATAAAAAAATAGGTTTTCTTCGGTATTTTTTAAGATTGAGATTGTTCGGTCAAAGGAAGTTATCAGTTTATGCCTACAAATATTGGATTTATTGCCTAAAATTGGCACTGTTGGTGCCCGTCCAATTGATACTCCCTTAGACCCCACAATTAAGTTAGATGTTAAAAGTAACGAAGTTTTTTATGATGTAGGCGCTATAGGAAGTTGGTTGATAAACTGATTTATCTTACAGTTATATGTCCTGATATTACCTATGCTATTTTTGTGGTTAGTCAATTCATACATGCTTTTGTTAAACCTCATTGGGAGACTACATACCATATTTTTCTATATTTAAAAGAAGCAGCGGGTAAAGGATTATTATATCATCCATGTCTATTACTAATTTTTGTGATGCTTGTAGTTGTCTCGATAGACAATCTACTTCATTTTATTGTACATTTATTAGTAGTAATTTTGTTACGTAGTTGGATGTTTGAGTATAGAGGCTAAATACCGGGCCATAACTTATATTGCATGTGAGATGTTGTGGGTTCATTCAATGTTAAATGATATGAATATCAATGTGCACTTTCTTATGGAGATGCATCGTGACAAACAGGCAGCTATTTTTATTGCCCGTAATTCGATGTTTCATAAGAGAACTAAACACATTGAAGTAGATTGTCATTTTATTTGAGATCTCTTGATGCAAAAGTGGAATATCACACCATCCATCAAGTCTAATGATTAGATGGGTGACATCCTTATCAAACCATTGGTTTGACTAGTCTCAAGGATCAAAATGTCGTGTCGACACGTCCGAAACGTTTCAGAATTTCAACACTCCGAAACGAAACAGTAGTTGAATTACAAAATTCCAGTGTTTCGGTCGAAACGGTACTGTTTCGGACTGTTTCGGTCAAAACGGTACTGTTTCGGACCGTTTAAGTCGAAACGGCATTGTTTCGAATCGTTTCGACAAAACAGTGATGTATTCGGTTCATTATGAATAATTACATTTAATACCCCATTATAATTACATTTAATACCCACTGTAATTACATTTAATACTCACTATAATTATATTTAATATCCCGCTATAATTACATTTAATTCTCACTGCTCTTCTGTCTTTTATAATTTTTTTGTTATAAGAATAAATAATTACACTTAATACCCTACTATAATTATATTTAATACCCATTATAATTATATTTAATACATACTATAATTATATTTAATACCTCACTGCTGTGCAAGTTTTTTGCTTTTTTTTTTGTTATAAGTATTAACAATTACATTTAATACCCTAATGTAATTATATTTAATACCTACTGTAATTATATTTAATACCCACTGCAATTACATTTAATTTTTAAGTATACATAAGTATCATTAATTTAATTTGATACCCTTCATTATTAGTATTATAATAAAATAGTATTATTAATTGGATTATATTACCGTAATAATATGATTTGGAGTAACTATTGTCATCATATTTATGTCACATATGGAGTTTCTCTAAGTAGCTACCCAGAGCCTACACCGATGTATGAGCCTGCTCGACACTCCACAGGGGAATGGATGTAACCATGTAAGTATGTACTCATTAGCATTTCATGTGTATTATAAGACCTTAATATTATGTAAAAATGTGTTTATTTCATAAAAATTAAGTGTTTGAAACTAATTTAAGTGACTTTCGCCTCAAGTCAAGCCTTTTTTTCCCTCAAATTTAAATTTATTCTTGTATAAATTGATGTTAACCTAATAAATATGTTGAATTAATAAATTATTTAGCATATCTTTATAAATTAATGGATTGCATTTGTGTTTCTATGCGTTTCCATATTTTTTCTGCGTTTCCATTGCGTTTCTGAAATGTTTCCGAAACGTTTCTATTTTTGAGTTGACCGAAACGGTACTTCGAAACGAAATTTTGATCCTTGACTAGTCTTTACTAATCTTTGTTTCAAGTTAGGTATCTTTGATCTTTATGCTCCAGTTTGAGGGAGAGTGTTATAATTTTTATTTTATATTACCAGTAATGTAGGGTAATAATGTAATTACCCATAATATCAGTTTATTTTAAATAGGAGAGTGTAGAACAACATATCCTACACATAGATTATTCCTTTCTCTTTCTCCCTTTCTTCTGTATGTTCTTCATCTCCTTTCAAGCCCTAGGATTTACTTTAACTCGTACTATTATACATGTGACTAAACTTGAAAGAAAGTGGTAAATTCAGACAAGGAAAAAAAGAAGCAAATATACAAAAACAAACGGACCTAGAAAAAGTTTATAAAACAAACAAAAAAAGTTAAAAGTACGTAAAAAGTGTTATCAAACAGTACATAAGTTTTTTGCATATATTAGTAGTTTAATTTTTTGTCTTATAATATTAAAAATTCCCCCCACTATAGTAATTTTTTAGTTGCACTCCGGTCAGCTAGTGTTGTGTCAAGGTTGATGCCAACTTGGAGATTTTACAAGCTTGGATGAAGACGAAGGATATATTCTTGTAATCTCCTATATATCTTTAGCACTAAAGTAATTAGGTTTAACTAATTCGAATAGATTAAAATAGACTTGATCTGAAAAGTTAATTTGGAAGGATTAGTCAAATTTGATTCGCGAAAAATTAGGAAGATATATTTTGAAATTACATCAAAATAGGTATGCTCATAGTGTAATTAACTATTTAAAAAACAGGAAATTCGAAATTGGGAAAAAAGGGTTTAATTGGAAATCCCAATTTCAACTAGGAGGTGCCTTCTTCAAATTCAACCCACTTGGCTATTGCCAAGCACAAACATGGTCCCCAAGCTTTGTGAGTCCATAAAAATGGAGATTGGGTACTGAATTTAGATGCACAAATCGGTGGTGAAAACAGAGAATCGGGGAGAGAGAAACTAGAGAGAGAAAGTATAGGAAAGTGGAGGTTCTACCGAATTCAAGGCTCAAATTTGATAATCAAGGCTTGGGTAATATTTATGGAAACTCAATAATTTTTTTTATGTCTCCAATTTAAAGTTTGAGTGGATGAAAGTGGCCAAAAAAACTGAAAAACCGAAATTTACCAAACTTGAATTTCTTTGTTTTATTGATCTTGAGTTTTAATTCAGAAAGAGGGTCACTCTTAAGGTTTTTGGGGTCAAGGAACTCAAATTTTGGTAGGATTTTTGAAAAAAATGATATATGGTTGGTCAATTTTGAAGTTGCAGAAGCTTTGAATTTCTATTACGGAAGTCACAACTTTGGAGGTCAGATTTTTGAGTTCTGAGCAATGGATTGAACTAGAACTTGACAGTAACAGCGAGAGGATTCAAAGACAGATTCTGGCTTTTGAATCACTTAGAAAAGTTGAGGAACTAGAGAGAAATCAAAAAAAAAAATCAAAAGGGTATCTCGGGTAAAAAATGACCGGCCTATAGCAAGAAAATGATGACCAGTGTTTTTTTACCCCAGCCCACCCTAAAGGCACATGAGACACCCCCTTGGTGTGTGGTTTTGACTAAAATACCCATCTTTTCAAGGGCTTTCCAACAAGCCTCAGTTTTGCCCAATTCTGACTTCTTTTGGATATTTATAATTTTCACCGTTTTATGTGATTTCATACCAAGTTCGTCCATCATACATCTTGGCTTGGGCGTGACAATTCTAATGGTTGAGAATTCCTAAAAAGGATTTTGTTCTATTTATTTTATTCTTCAACTGCATTTGCATATTTTATGACCAGGTCTAATAATCTTTGTTTGAAGGGGAGAAAGATGCCTTTTTGGGTCAAATGATAAAGTTATATATAGACTTTATGAAACTTCCTAGATTTTGACTAGCAACTTGGTTACTGTATATTTGTGTTGTATAATATCTAGATGTCAATGTGCTATGTTGATTATGTATTTGAGGTGCACCATATTTTAATACAAGTTTTGGTGCAACAGACAGTATTTCTTCTTGTTGTTGGGTGATACAGTTTCTATTGGATTGAGTTAATTATTCAACATGGTCGTAATATCATGGCATAAGTTCTTAATATAAGTTATTTGTATCCGCATACTAGCACTGTGTTTTCTTCTGTTGTGAACCTTGATTATTTTTTCATTGATAGAGGGAGAGACAATAATTGAATATACATCATTTTTATCCCCATAAGCAGTATGCCTTCTTCTTTTGTAGGAGCCCGTAATGTTCTATGTTGATGACCGGTCATGAATAACTTTCTTATTTCAGGTCCTTGTTGGAACTGGATCAAGAACAATGACAATTATCAGAATTAAATCCTTGAAGGTCTATGCATTCGGTTTTTGTAAGTATTTCTGAATTCACTCGGTCTTCCAGAGTTCCTTGTATTTACCTCTAAAACCCATCCTCAAGATTTTAATGTTTTCATTTTTCTTTTCTTTTTTCTTTTGAATTTTTCAGACATTCATCCATATGATGTCTGTGAGAAATTGGGTCTGAAGTATGCTTCTATTCCAGTTGGTGAATTGAACAAGCACAATAAGTTTTATGAGGATCTTCTCAGGTAGTTTAGATGCTTATTTAACCAAGTAAACTGTACTTTACTTTCTAGAAAATTCTTCTTCCTTTTTTTCTTTTAGTGCTGACTTCTTTTGGCTGCCTGTCTTTCGTTTTGTTGCTTCTTGATAACCTTGAGCATCAAAATCATATAGAGGCAAAAGGGAATGCCTCGGATATGGGCTTCCCTGTATATTTCTTGCTTAATTAATTGTGTTGGTTAACTAGGAAGAATACTAGTGCAGTGGTTTCAATACACTTTCTCTTCTCTACAATGTGATCCAATATCTGCTGTTCACTAGATTGATATTCTCATTTCTCTGTTATGGTAAGACATTAAAGAGCTTCCTCCAGTCTTTGAATGGATTAAATGAAGACACGAGTGGAAGCTCCAAGCTTCTTCAAAGGCATTTATTCCTCTTTCATCTAATCAGTTGACCTCGAGTAGTTTTTCTCCACTGCCTGGCTTACACTTAATAGCTTTTACCAGCAAAAGTGGACTGGAGTAGCGTGCATTGCGGTTTATATTTTCCTTGTTCTTCATGATTGTTGTGGCTGATCACATGTTTTTTATATTGTCAAATCGGACGATAATCAACTTTTTGCGGCTTCATTCTGTATAGGATCTTATGTGGTTTACAATATAAATTTGAACAAAGATAAAGAGCTATCTAGTGCATTCATTTCCTTGAACAATGCACAAAAAAGGATTTTTTTTAGAAAGCTACAGGAAGTCGAGTGAAAGAGGATCAGCATATACCCGAGCAGAGCTTCTGGAAATGCTAGACCCACTAAAAAGGAAAAAATAGATTCTGAAAGTGGAGTATGGTTTGTCACCAAGGAATATCATTTGTTCAGTTGTGTATTATCGCCTCCTAAAATGGGAATTATATAATTAAACAGGGAACATGTAACTTTTAGTGAATGACCGCAGTCTCCTTAGAGGTTCTATGACTCTGAAATATGTTTGGTATAACTTTTGAGTTGTTGTTCAAGTAAATAATCTGTTGTTAAATCAATGCTAACAATATCCAGAAACAATGGTATTTCTAAAGATAGATATCATCTAATAATTAAACTTGAAAGGTTTTTGTGCTATCATTGTTACAATATAATGAGTGGCTTGAGGCGGGATTCCATGGTTGTGCTATTAGTATATCGTTGTTCTCTTCTGACATGAACCTAATTAATCAAAAGTGCTGATTATGCTGCTTGAGTTGATGCCTCTGGTGATTAATTCATACTTTTTTGACAACTTTAATTTCTGGCGTTTATGATTCAATTGGCTGCCTATTGTACTATTAGATTGGTGTGGTCTTGAAGTTGTTGTGTAAGTAGGGTAGGAAATTTCAAACTGTTTGTGCTCCAAATCAAACTTGGAATAGATTGAAATCCAAATACTATGGTTTTATTATTGAATTGTTTTAACACAGGTGAATCTTTTTCATCATTTCCTCATTCTGTCTTTGATGTGAATGCTGCAGGGAGGATATTAATATGACTGTTAGGCTTGTGATTAATTGCAATGGGATCAAAATCAGTACCGTTAAAGAGTAAGATAGATATCTTCTTCCACATATTCATTCATCTAGAAAGAAAAAAAAAAGAATATTCTCAGGAACTTTTTTGTGTCCACAGTAATGATTACTTAGTTGAATCTGCTGTGGATTCAATTACTTCAAAAGTTTTGGTTGATATTGTTTCCAGCATATTATTCTGGTGTATTTGTTGATGCTATCCTCTTAGTTGCTTTCTGCAGATAATGGCATAGGTTACCTTTTTTGGTTGACACCATCTTCAGAATTATTTTTTTTCTTTAACCCCCCCCCCCCAACCTTTTTGACCACTATTTTTTTCGGGGGCGGGGGGTGATGGGGGAATTAAAATGTCTTTAGGGATTTTAGAAGTCATGCATGGCTAATGTACTCCAGAAGATCTTCCATTTCTTTTTGCTTTTTCTGTTTCTGTCTCTCTAATCTATGAAAAAGTAGCAATGGCATTCAGTACATATCGAATATAATTATCATAGTCATTGGATTGGCATATATGACGACACACGGAAGTTGATGAATGTCAATCATTACTTTGCTTGGGATCTCTATTACTCCAAGGAGAGGAATCTTGTCCGAGGCATTGGGACCAAGAACTGGAATCTCTGTGTGTGTTTCTTAGGTCTAATTCTCTCTAACTGATTGATGCTTAAGGCTTGTATTTACAAATTCTAAAGTTCTAATGACATGTACAACCGGTCTGAGCATCTACGGGGCCAGGTCAATGCTTGCTTGGCTCAGCTTATTGACAATCTCATTTTTCAGCGAGGGACCCAATTTGTGAAAATTGTGCTGAAAGTGTTTATATCCTTGGTTAATGTCTTTTATCTCTGTTTCTTGCAGTGCTTTTGAGAAATCCCTTAGAGCCCGATTAATAAAAGTAAGTCATTTTCTTACAACAGATTTTCCTTGGTCATGAATAAGAAATGCTGACTTTTGGCAATATGTATTTAGACAAACCCAGAAACCGACTACTGCTGCCTAACAACCTTTGGTTCTATTTTCTCACAAGATATCCCTTTACGTTCGGTAATAAATTCTTGAACATGTCAATCTCTTATTTGTATGTAATATCCGGCACCATGAATGACATCTGACTTCAAATTAAAAATCTACAGGGAACAACAATTGACTTCCGCCGAACAGGTGATGGACACCTGATTACTGAAAGTTAGTATACTCCAAATTTTGCATTGCGTGTCTATGCCACCCCCCACTTGCCCCGTCTTAGCTGTGCCCTTTTAGTGGCACTCTGTTTTTTTCGCTTCTTGTTAAATGTTTCACTATTTCTGCTACTTGAGAGGAGGACTAGGAATGATCCGACTCTTCAGATTTCTAGGTTTATAATGTCACATACACACTCACAATGGAAAATTTACTTGTGCAGTTGGAGGTAATCAGATTGGAGCAGTCCATAGCAAAGATCTGTGTAGTAAGCAATTACCGTTTTCAGTTTTTCTTTATACCTTTTAGGCACATTTTTACTTATCTGTAGATTTGAGAAACAGTGCATGGACAAAGACTTTTAGTACGTTCTATGAAATCGTAGAAGAAATGAGAAAGATTATAGTAACTTTATTTGGACAAATTATAGTACTTACCTGTGAGAGTGTGTGTGTGTGTGTATTTCCAGGGGCTTTCTTTGACATGTACATTGGAGAGGTTCCTGTGTGTGAGCAAACAAAAGCAGAGATCGGGAAAAATGTTGGACGTATCATAAGGAGGTGCTGAGGCTCTTTGTTTCCTGTGACCATTGTCCCACTCTCTTAAGTGGACAATTGGTGGCTGATGTGGTGAAATTTCGGATGCCCATTGCAATAGAACTGCTATTGATTGATGGTGCTCTTCAAACTCTTGCCAATTGTAACTGCAGTCATTTCAGCAGCCGAAATCTTGCAGGACATCGGTTAATATTCTGTGAATTTGCAAGGGTAACCAGGGTTTAACGGTTGTCAGGATTCATTGAAGTAGGATTAGCACCCATGGTTCTGTGGTGGTGCAGGGATCTGCAGCAGTTTTATAGCCGTATCTGCTATCTTTAATTGTAATTTTTCTTCCAAATATTTGATGGACAGAGGAACACTTTGTCTTCATGCCGATACGGCAACATTTCTGAGAAAAAAACTTACTGTGCATAAGCTTCTCATTGTTGCATTACTTCATAAATCAGGTGCATTTGCTGGTACAGGTCTGATCTTTTAGGTTTCACCCTACAGAAGCTGCTTTTCTGATTTTAGCCCAATTATGTTACAAAGTTAATGCTCCGTTTGGTAATGATAGAAAAATAGAACAATAAAAAGTTGTAAGGATTGAAAATTTGAAGTAACGGTGACAATTCTTGCCCACAACCCACTAAGTCGTCCATAAATTAATGAGTTTGGTACCTGTTTTTATTAATTTGGGTTAAAAATGGGTTGGGTATTATTATTTAATTTAAATTTATGGGTTAAATCGGGTTTAATATAGGTATCCATTGGGTTTCTTTCTTAAAATCTAATGAATCATAAATACACACTCCAGGCCCACCTCTCAAGCCGTTACACTCCCATGGAGTCTCTTGACATAAAAGCCAAATCTTTCACTATTGACTACACATTGCTTGTTTAACAACAACTATTGCTCCGACTGAAATTTGACTACTCTGAATTGGAATTCGGCTATTGAATCTTGCATCTCTTCATCATTTAGGCTTGCAAAGTGAGTTACCTCCAATTTTATTTATTGAAATTTCCCAAAACATTGTCTCGATACATCAAATGCCCCACTTTCTTGTTTTGTTCCTTTTCTACCTCTTTGTTAGCATTAGTTTTGTTTCTCTTGGATTGGATATTGAATTACTTGAGTTATACTTTTTGGCTAAAAGACCAATTGGGACATGCCTACAACGTGTTTGATAAAATGCCCAAAAACTATTTAGGATTGAATCTGTAGATGAAGCGGAGTGCAAAAGGGTGGGGCTGGACTATGATATGTCCATTTGCTAGAGATATTGGGAATGGACCAACTTATTAGCAATAACTGATTGTTTTCTATTTATATATGTCTAGCTATAGGCAGAGTAGCCTTATCACTCATCGGTCATTAGCATCCAACTGTGTATGCCCATATGTGTATGCATGGTGAATCAAAAAAAAAACTGAGTTAATCTAGTAAAACATTACTTCTTTCTTTTTCAGAATTCTCGATAGTTGACGAAAATTAAATAGAAATTAGTTGCAGCAAATAATAAATTAAAAATATTAATTAAAGGCTTAAATGATAGAATTTGTCCAAAAAAGGTCTACCATGGGTAAAGATAAATTATAATACTTGAATGACTTTTGTTTAAATTGCAATGATCTTGCTCCATTCTGGTTTTGCCATCTATTTTTTGCTTTTATGTTACTTTTCATTGAGGTTTGGGTATGTCAAGATTTTCTTACTTTAAGAAATTTGTTACGACATATTCCACGACTTGTTTTACAATAATTTTGTTTGGGTAATGCTCATTTTTGTGGGTGTAGATTCATATTGAGGCTGTCATGTCTTCAAGAATAATATAAGGGAAGATAATGTTGATTATGGTGAAGAAAGTTCCATCACTGGAAAACAAGGTAGAAAGTCTTGCTCTATAGTTTGGAATATTTTTGAGAAATTACCTGTTAAAAGTGAGGGGAGACAAAAGGCTAGGTGTACAAAGTGTGACCAACTATATATGACAGATTTCAAGTTCGGAACATCCAATTTGAAGCGACATCTCAAAATTTGTTGTCCTGAACATGACACAAATGAGTTGGCGCCACAACTACCTTTTGATCAAGATGTCTATAAAAAGAAGCTTTCTGATGTCATAATCAAGCATAATTACCCCTTTAACTTCGTGGAACATGAAGGAATCAGAGAGTTGAATAATTTCTTGAATCCAGATGTGAAATCAATCTCAAGAAACACCGCAAAGTTGGACATTTTGAAAGCTTATAAAAGGGAGAAAGAATAATTTAAACATGCATTGGATAATGCAAAGTATAATGATGGTTTGATTGATTTGTTGAAGAATCATCTTTCTTTAACAAATGTTTTGATATGTGATGGTGAATTTCTTCATATATGCTATTGTGCGCATATCTTGAATCTTATTGTTCAAGTGAGCTTGAAAATGATTGATGGATCTGTCTATTAGATTCAAGAAAGTGTCAAATATGTTAGGGGTACAGAGGGAAGGATGATCAAGTTTGCAGAATGCATTGCACAATTGTCCATAAAAAGTGGTAAGAAAGTATGCCAAGATGTGCCAACAAGATGGAATTCAACCTATCTTATGCTTGAATGTGCTTTATTATATCGTCAGGTGTTCTGCCAATTGCAATTGATTGATACTAACTTCAAAACATGTCCATCACAAGAGGAATGGAACATGGTTGAAAGGATAGTAAAGTTTTTCAAACCTTTTAATGACATTACAACATTGTTTTCAGGAAGTCAATATCCCACTTCAAATTTGTATTTTCGTAGCATATGGAAAATTCAAACACTCATCCTAAAGGAACTGAATAGTCCAATAAGTTATAAGTTCCATGGCACAACAAATAAAGTGGAAATTTGACAAGTATTGGGATTTGTTATAGCATAGTGCTTTCCTTTGCCATAGTGCTTGATCATCGTTATAAGTTGAAGTTTGTTGAATTTGCATTTGCAAAGCTTGATCCTAAAACATGTGAAGAAAAGATAAGGAGTGTTCGGATGAAGTTGCATTCACTCTTTCAAGAGTACAAGTGTTTCTCCCCGTCCGCCTTTGCAACTAATCCATCGACAATGAGAAATGCTTCTAGTGAAGTAGATGAAGATGAAATGAATGTAAGTAACATCACTGATTGTCATATTTATACTTTCATAGATTTATTAGTAATTTTCTTATATATTGTGTTTATATTAATGTAGGAGTTTGAGCTAGTTGAGAGAGAACATTCTGGATTGAATAGAAATAAATCACAGTTAGATCTATACTTAGAAGAATTTTTACATGATCGAAGACAAAATGTGCAATTGGATGTTCTAAGTTTTTGGAAAGCAAATAGAACCCGATATCCAGAGCTTTCATTGATGGTCCATGATGTGTTGAGCATTCTCATTAGTACAGTTGCCTCAGAATTAGCTTTTAGTATTGAAGGTCGTATCATTGAAAAATATCGTTGTTCAATTTTGTCGAAGAATGTAGAGGCATTATTATGCACTCGAGATTGGTTACATGGTTTAGAAGGTAAAATGAACTCTTGCAATTTCATGCTAATATTATAATTAATTGTTTTGAGATTTACAACATTAGAAGTTAATGTTATGCACTTACTTTAAGCAGTTCAAGAAGATTTAGATTAGGAGGAGGAACTTGCAATTAACATTGAGAAATTAATTTCTGGATTTGATGGCTCTTCAAATGACGTGGAATGAATCTTGGGAAGTTGGTGTGGAGTCCAATTTGTGAGTATTAAATGATAAGGAGACATGGTGCTATGGTTATGTGTATCTTTTTTTGGATTATTTCTTGTTATGATGAAGGATTGCTGTGAATTTTTAGTATGAAATATGCTATGCGATAGGACAGTAATTGTGTTTGTGTTTTTATTTTGTCAATGTGTAAGTGTTTGTATGTCACATTGTATCAAGATTGTGTGTTTGCGAGTAGCACTGCGTGTGCGACACTGTGTGTATATTTTTTTGTTGATTAGTGTGTGTTTATTTTGGTGTGTATGTATTTTGGTGTAAGTGTGTGTGAATTTTGGTGTAATAGCATGTTTGTGTATTTTAGTGTAATAGTATGTATGTGCATGTATGCATGTATTTTGGTGTAGTAGTGTGTGAATTTTGCTGTAATATTGTGTGTGTATATTTTAGTGTAGTAGTATGTGGATTTTGGTGTAATAGTGTAAATGTATGTATGTATTTTGATGTGTGTTTATTTTGGTGTGATTGTGTGTGTATATATTTTTTGGTTGATTAGTGTGGGTTTATTTTGATGTGTGTATTTTGGTGTAATAGTATATTTGTGTATTTTGGTGTAATAGTATGTATGTGCGTGTATGTATGTATTTTGGTGTAGTAGTGTGTGTATTTTGGTGTAATATTGTGTGTGTGTATTTTACTGCAGTAGTGTGTGTATTTTGGTATAACTGTCACACCCCGAATTGGCTCGGCATGTGACAGGTGTTACTTTAATCCACGGAATATTATAATACTGAGAAGTCACGTAGCATAGCATAATAACCCATAATTTACAAACCACAGATTATTGTATAAACATATGCAAAACTTTTAACCTAACATATTACAAACTATTACAACTTATTATTCAATTAAGTATATGTTACATATTAGTTTTTCTTTTATTTTATTACAAACTTTTGATACAACTTCCTAAGATATACAAAAAACCTTGGTAGGTTATTATGTACACATCTATCTGCTTTCTCACATCTAAAAAAGGTAAAGTAACGTAGGGTGAGCATCAACAGTTGAGTAGAATATCTTAATTTCCAAGCAAACGAGCTTGAAAATAGTATAATTTAGCATGATTGGGCAAGAATCCAAATGAGCAGTTGATACATATATGTCAGCAAAACGTCATATCATGTGAAACTGTAACAGATAAATTAAACTGTAAAAGAGAGTTCAAAATTCAAGTACAATACTACACAGATGGGCAATTCATCCTATTAGACCACTACGGGTCCATACGAACATACGATCCAACCTTTTGGGGAACTCCTACCCCGAAAAAGATACGCTTCTTAGTCAATGTTCAGTACCCAAGTTTGAAGACCAATAGGGCCACCTAGTCATTTACAAACTCAATGAGTACTCTCTACGACCTCAAATTGGAATGTAAATCTTTTTTGCCACTCGACCCGCGTGCACTTATATTTCCATAAAAAAATTCTGAAGTTTCATTCAATACGAACAATTCAAGCAATACTATTATTTCCAAAACGTTAGTGCATCTCGCACTCTGAAACCCTATATCCGGGTCCGGATCCGGATCCAAGTCAATATTCAAAACACTCAATCAGATATTTCAAAACATGCTAAAACATCATAAATAAATTATGGAATAATTTGGAAACAAGTTGAAAAAACATCGTCTGTTTTGGAATTGAGGAACCTTACCCGCTCGGTATTTTGATCTGAAATAACTAAAAA